ATGACACAAACAGGATTCAAAATCGGGTATGGGATGGAATAAAAGCCTTGCAAACCAACACTACCAAAGAAAACTTGTTCACGTTGTAGTTTCAAAATACATACGGTGACACACAACAAATTAGTACGGTTGCACTTTCCACGAACCTATATTTTTTTTACCCTTCGACGGAGAAATAATACTGTGGCACATGCCACAGTTGGCAACCACTATAGGTCCATCACTGACATCGAGATGCATCAAACCAATTCCAGTGATACCAATAATTCATGAGACGGGGATGAGATTAAAAATGATCAATAATCCAGATCAAGATCTCTTCTTACGCTTCTCGCTTTAACTTTTATTCTCATATGATTCTTTGTTAATTATGCAAACCAACATATCATTACTAGGGGTGACAGTTCTGTATTAAACTAAATCAATCAACATGTGCAACGATCGTATAAATTAAGTTGGTACCAAGTTAATCTGTATCAATTACCATCGGTTAATGGTACGTACCGTGTATGTAAAGTTGGTTGTTATAGGATATTGGAACTCGTGTACCACGTTACTACCATGGTATTAACTTATTTAATTATTTATTAATTTTTAAATTTAATATGTACTGAATATTAGGTTTTGTTTGACACATTTAAATGTTTGCAAGTTTTACTTCTTTTAAAAAATCACAGATGTTACGTGAAAACTCAAAATTCGAACATAATGACAAATTTTATATATGTAACTTAAAGTTGATACAAAAGTAATATCAACATGTAAGAACCGAAAAAAGTTGGTACCAAGTACACTTGGTTGGTAAATGGTATAAGATTTTAAATATCAGTTATAATTGGTTGATACATGGTATTAAAAAAAATTAGTATCATGCGAAGTCTTACCCTTCTTATGTTTTTCATCTAACTCGTATTCTCATACGATCTTTCGTAACAGTTAAGATCGGTTTACATATATTAGAAGTGTATTCGCGCAATACAGCGAAATATATCTCGATTTTAATGTTTCATTTTATTTTTTTGGTCTATGTCGACTTATAATACGAATTTATGTGGTTTTGAGTAAACAATAATTTTTTTCTTTCTTAATGGAATATACATTTAAAGATATCATAAGAATTTAAAAAATATATAAAAGTTCTATTTTTTTAATTTAATTTCTTTATTTCAATTTTTTATTATAATTTAGTTTAGGTTTATGACGAAGTAATTTGTTTTTGGTTTAATAATATATAATTTTTATAAAAATAATAACTAAGTATTCTGTTAGAATTCAATAATTATCTTAATCATATTTTAGATATATTTAAAATGAGAATTTTATCTTGTATTTGATTATGTTTATCTACGATTAATTATGCGAATTCAAACATAAAGTTTAATAAATAATACTTACACACAATTTACTTGTGATTTTGAATTTTAAATAATATGCATCAATAACCAGTAATTCATATATAAAAATGGTTTTAATATAATATAAATAAACTAACATTTTTTCAAGGAACAATAGAATAAAAGAAAATGTACACGATTGGTTTCCTTAAATTATTTTTCATAAATAAAATTAATTTAAATACGTGCTTTACTACAATGATTAAAAAAAATTGATAATCTAAAAAAAGACGCCGGTTCACGTGAAAACGACAGGCCCGGCGGCCGCTTTTGGTGGGTCCACGTGTGTTGGCTCCTTGGAATCTAACTACGTGGAACTATGAATAAAAAATATAAATATAAATACCATTTTTATAATAAATTTATTTCTTTATTTTTTATATTTAATTATCATATAAATTACGCGTATTTTATTCTTAACTCATAACAATTTAGCTCTTTGATTCGTCATAAGACATCAATTTATTATTTATTTATTTATTTATTAAAAATAATAAATATTTTTATCTATTCTTTTACAACTTTCCAACATATTTTAAAATGATGGGTTGAAAGTCAGAGCATAGTAATACATAGTGGTCGTGTTAAGTAAATGTCAATATGTATTTAACCTAGATATCCAACTCGTTATGAAAGTCGATTAATCGTATGACGGTCACCTGTTTCACGAATAATCCGGAATCACTGTATTTGAACTCGTGGCCACAAGGGGAGCAAATGGTCAGCTTGAGATTAGTCGGCTTGCATAACGGGTTGGGTATCCGGGTTAATAAAAAAAACAATAAGTTGTCAAACCGAATAGGTTATTGGTTCAATAGTACACGGGTTATTGGTAGAGCCAACTTTTTAAAAATCAAATACTTAAGTTTAATGAAATATGAGCAATGTATGTAAATATTATATTAAAAAAAAACCCAGTCTCAACGAATTGATTAAAAGTAAAAAACATGTTATATTACATAACAGATAACATATCCATGAAGTCTAAGGGATTTTCTTGTTGACCTGCAACTTGGTATCAGTGGTGTTGCAGCTCGGGCGACTCAGTTACTAGAATTGAACCACTGAGAACATAATCTGTTGATTTTGTTTAAGAAAAAATGTACTGTAATTCCTTAGAAACAGATAAACACAAAAAACCATATAATTCACTGGAAAAAATTATGAAACACAATTTTATTCAAATCCAATACAAACTTTCTCACTTTATTTAAATATAAATATAAATATAAACTAAGGTAATTATCATAGTTAAAAACAAAACACATATATAATGTTTAAATTTAATCGCAAATTAAAAACTTCAAGTTTATTTTAAGTTTTATAAGTCTGTTTGGAACTTTTTAATACGAAATTTCAAAAATTGCGATTATAAAAACATGTACATTTTTTTTGTAACAAAGATTTAGAACTTGGGATTGATTTGAGCCCTACCCGGGACCAAGACTGGTTCTACGAATCGATTATGGTTAAAGGAGACCGGGCTACGGACTTTTGGTCGAAACCAGGAGGACCGATTATAAAAAGGAAATCAAAGAGACGACCGGTTTTTAGCCATCTCTAAATCACGCAATCCCTACTATTTGGCTATTGGCATATTTTTAACTCTAAAGTTTTCTTAAAATATTGAAATAAAAGATTAAAAAAATGGTATTTAATTTTAAGAGGTACTCTACTTGAATATTTCAACATTAATAAAATATTTTATAAATTTATTATTCCAATACAATTTTTTTTTTAAAAGTAACAATTTATTCAACATTATTAGTGATTTCAGTTGGAAAAAATCTTACTTTCTGATTGAGTTTTAGACATTTATCTAACGGGTTTTTTGTTTACTTTTTAATAATTCCATTAAAATGTAATATCTGAATCGTTAAGAGATGAATCTTGTTTGACAAAAAAAGTCTGTCTCTTAATGGTTTTAAAATCATCTGAATGATTCTATATCATGGCACTCCCTTAACCATTCAACACTCTAATTTCATGAGAGTCTTTTAATCATTTTGCACCAAACCATTCAGCAACTGACAAACAACCCTTAAATTTAAGAATTTGCAAATTTTATCTCTTGTTTCTTTATTTCACAAAACAATCTAAAATAACTGTTTAAGTAATAATCTCCAAATGCATTGCAAGCTACCCCCATGCAGAACAAAACTACAAACTCTAGAATCGCCCTCATCTAGGCATGGCAACGGGGAAGGGTTTTCAATCCCCGACCCCGATTTGTAGTAACAGGTCCCGATCCCCACGAGTACGGGGATTAACATTCCGTCCCCGGTCAAACCCCATGAAGCATATCTGTTAGTTTGAGTTTACCGGAGATCTCCCACCCTGGCCCCAACCCCAGTTTGAGTAACAACCTCGGTCCCGGCCCCCGCTCCGGTTCGACTCTATCGGGGATCCCCAGCCTTGGCCCCGGGACCCGCTTTAGTGGGGAATCCTCGTCCTCGTTCGGGTCCGTGAGCCGGGTTTCCCACCGGTTCGAGGCAAATTACCATCTTTACCCTTAGCCTAGCTCAGTTAGCAAAGAGGCAGAACAATTTTGCTAAAATACTCACTAGCTTTAAGTTCCAATCCTGCGGGGAGGAGAACTTGAACCGCTATGCTAGGAGTGGATTCCATGTGAGGCCTTTTACTCAAAGTAATCTTTTAGAATCTCTATTTTAAAGTAATCGTTGTCGGAGATTGATCTAATCATTTCCATAAAAACAAGAAACCCTCCCTTACAATATAAATATAACCCATGAGGATGAATTCACGTTAGACCAACCTGTTTTTGTGGGAACCATGAAAACACAAAATAACACTGGAATTTCATAGAAAAATATTGTGAAAATACAAAAAACACTGAATCTTCATAACAAAAACACCATAAAAAGTTTATTCTTCACCGTGTTTTGCTAAAAAGTTTAGTGTTATTTATATGATTTCACAAAAGCAATATGATTTCATATGATCAGAAGTGATGGCTGATATTAAAAAAGGGTTTGATATAAGGCCCAAAATTAGAGATGGCCAAATCTGCCCGGCCCTGCCCGGGACCGATAAGGACCGGTTATGAGACCGAAAACTGGGACCGGTTGAGGTTTTTGGTAGTTTCGTGGGACCGGGACCGGTTATGAGACCAACTATGGACCGGCCCAAAAATTCAAATAATTTTATAAATAAATTTATATTTAAATAATTTTATAAATAAATTTATATTTAAATAATTTTATAATGTATTTTTATAAGAAAACGTAATTTTAATTATATTAAAACGCATTTTTAAAGTGTATTTGAGTGACCTAATTGTAAATTTTATAATGTATTAAAAATATATATCATTAAAAAAATAAAAACAATCTTATTTTTTAATGCAAGGACCGGTTGGGACGAGGACCGACGACCCATAACCGATTATAAAATACCTTGACCGGTCTTATCATTTTCGACCGGAACCGGTTATGACCGCTTATGAGAAAGGTTAGGACCAATTGGATCCGGCCCGACCCGGAACTCATTTTTGGCCATCTCTACTCTACCCAAAATTGATGGTTGGGACTGGGGAGCCATTGTCCAATAAGGCCCAATTGTTTCAACAACCTTAGCGGCGTCGTACCTTACGACACGTCACGTAACTAGGAAAATGGGCGGTGGATGTGGATTTCTTGGTGTGAGCTCTCGTCCAATTTCATCACTCTCCTTCCATAACGAAATCAGTCCTCTAGGGTTTTGATAAACTGTACTGAATTTTAGTGTTTCTGTTTCCAGTAGAGAGAAATGGGTCGGATATTTTTGGTGGAGTTAGAAGGAAGGACTTACAAATGCAAGTTCTGCAAAACAAATTTATCCCTCGCCGAGAATGTCGTTTCACGGGTAATGATTTCCGTATGATCTTAAATCTCATTCGTTATTTTATACTGTTACAAGTTTTCTATTTTAGTTTTATTAATTAGGGGTTCTTTGCGATTTGTTTGATTTGGGATTTATGATTACTGTTTATTCGTCACCTTTTTGATGATTTTTTATTAGTTTCTGCCTAATTAAGTGCTTGATAACAATCTAGAAGCTGTGTGGGTCGATTAATGGCTTTGCATAATTGTAGTAATTGTGTTATGTATGTGGTTACGAAACCCTATGATACTTGTAATCAAAGAATATGGTGGCTGTGTTTGAACTTTTGAGCTTCCATCTGATACAAAACTTCACCAGGGGCTGTTTGGTTGGTTTTTCATTAAGTCAAACTGACTGCATGGATTAATCAGTCTGTTTGGGAAGATTTTTGTTTGGGAGGTTTTTTTCATAGATGGAAGAAGCTTGTTTTTTAATATTGGGAGGGGCAGATTTGGAAAAACTTGGCTTTCTGCATAAAGCTATCCCTAGAAGCTTACTGAATAAGCCATTTTGCATGTCATTAAGCCACTATCGAACAGTCATGATAGCTGGCCGCTTAAGCTGTGAATGCTATTAAGCTCATTAAGCTGCTAAAGGACAGGCCCTAAGCCACTGCTCTTGTGTAATTGCGGTACATATGATTTGAATTTGAAAGGGGGGAGGTTGTAGCCCTCATTTTGGGTTTTGCTGCTTATGTTAGGACCTCATTTCAGGGCTTCCTTAGGACTTCGTTTACTACATGAAAATAATACATACTCTCGGCGAAAAAGAGAGTCCCCATTTGGTTAGATTTAAGTGGTAGACTACCTTGAACTATATGAAAATCTTTAAACTGGAAAATATAAGGAGTTAAAATGACTTAAAATGTCAGATTCTTTTGAATGTGAAATGTACTAGGTTTGAATTTATTTAATGAGAAACCGATGGTGGTTATGTGATGAATGGAATGAAAATACAAATTTGGTCAACTTGCAAATAGGTTATTCCTGCTTCCTGATGATTCTTGTCGGTTTTTATATTTCTGAACCTTTAACATAAAAACAACTCACTCAACTACAAGTGCGGAAATATAAAAAGTTTGAGATGAAGAATACAATGTAGGGCACTCCCTCACTTTTCCATAAGTTGGTGATTCATCACCAACACAACTAGTGATGTGTCTTAAGACTAAATTACTTATCTGAAAGATACAAGTATGTTCAAGTGATTATATCATATGATAAACGAGTGTAAGTTGCCAAAATATTTTCATAACAAAACAATGGCTTTTCTGGCTTTCTTTCGCACAAAATATCACATTTTTATCTTTGAGTGAGTATGGGTGTTCAACCTTCAATGGTGAGGAATATTTTATATTTGTAGTACAAGATAGAAAAATCATCCGGGCACAATCCGGAAGTTCGAACTAATAGAGTTAAAAAGCGCATATAACATTTTGATCGTTTTGGAAAACAAGTCAGAAATAGTACTCAGGAAGCCCTGTTTATTACATCCGGACTTCCATATTGACCGAATTAGATTTTTTCCCTCTGAAAAAGCAAGAACTTTTGTGTAACATGCCAAATCAATCCTTCCATAACCATTATAGTGTTTAAAGGAATATTATAAAAAATCTTTCCCACAAAGCATTTGTCATTTCTTAAGTCAAATAACATTTTGAATTTGAATTCAAGAACTCTTGCAAGAATTCTTTTGTTTTATAAACTATATAAAATCTTTTATATAAAGTTATGATTGATATTTTGATTTTTCACGAGAAAATTGCCAATGATATTTGGTGATTCTATGGATAATACATCATGCTTATGCTTGCATCTTTTAACTTTTTCTTTTTTTAAACAATCAGGGTTTTCATTGCCGCAGAGGAAAAGCATACCTGTTCAGCAACGTGTAAGTTGTTCAAACTTCATTCTTTCACTATAATGCTTGTTTAATGTACTGATTAAATAAATACTCTTTGCATTAAACACACCTTGCAGTTGCACGTCAATAGTATGAACATACGCTACCAAAGGTTGATTTTCTTTTGGTGTTAAAAATGAGCAACTTATGAATGATTGCAGAGAGGCAGTTCAGAACCAAAGCTTTCATATAATTGGATTTTTGGTTAATTGGAGTGGATTTCACTTTTTCTAAGTTTGCAAGCTGTGTGATGTCTTATGATTCAGCTGGCTTGACAGTTACATGGGGCATATTCAATTTTGGAAGACGATTGGCTTTTAGGTTGATTGGGGAGGGTGCAATGCAGGCGTGATCGATAGTTCTCGGATTGACGTAGCAAATTGAACTTATAGTGGATTTTATGAATCTTTGATTAAATTTTGATATGATTTTAAGTCTCATTAGTAGAACAGATATGCTCACAGAATAATTTAACTTTTGATCCATGGGGGATGGGACTAGGAAGAGAAGGAAATGTAGAGTTCTAAATTATTAATATAAAGAACTAGGGTTCCACAGTATGCTAGGGTGTAGGGTCTATTTAGGCACCGTCACAAGAAGATTTGTGCAATTGGTATATAAAATTTCAATGTTCGAGCCAAAGTTGTTAAGGCCTCAAGGCGCACTTAGTTGCAAAGGGGTCTGGAGGTCAAGGCGAGAGGTGTGGGCCTCAGAAATGCGAGGCGCATCTGATCAATACACACACACACACACATATACACATTCACACAGTACACACAACTCAAATATGCAGCAAGTACAAGCCTCCAATGCAAGAACGAACAGTACTTCAACAGAGGCAAAAGGGGGAAGGGTTTAAAGCACGAGCCATGAGAGAGAAGTGTTTAAAGCATGCGCCATGAGGGAGAAGTTTTAAGGCCTGAATTTTTATAGTGAAGGAGGCCTGAAGTTCTAGGGACTGGGTATTTAGTATTAGGGTTTGACTTATGTCATCTATTTAATAACTTTCTTTTCAAGAAGTAATGGAGATGACAAGATCAGAAAACTTATTTAATATTAGGGTTTGACTAGTCATCTAATAACTCTTTATGAGGTGCGCCTAGGCCCACAAGGCGCCCAAGCCAAGGCGCAGCCTTAGTGAGCCTCGTGAATACGCCTAGCCTCGACTTAAGAAAAGCCCAAGATCTTGAGCCTTGTGAGCCTCAGAGCCCAGGTGTACCTCAAGCGCGCCTTTAACAACTATGATTCAAGCTAAGATTAGTTGCCTCTTTTTTTGTACTAGTTGGAATTTTAGCCAATATCAATATTAATAGAAGTGTTCTCTTACTCCACTCTAAGCCTTGTGGATAAAATGTCTATTTATATGGAACGGAAATCTAATTATCAACCCACATTGCTCTTTTTTATAAAGCTATCCAAACACTATGATGCACCTCTGTAGGTTGTCAATTCTATTGCAAGAAAAATCGGATGATTCCAATAGTGATTCCAGCTTTTGAGAGGCTGAAAACTCTTCCAAAGGCTACTGCCAATAGATATTGTCCTCAACACCTTTTTTATATGTCAATGCCAAGTTGCCAAACTAACTATTTAGGACAGCTTAACAGCCCCTTATTGCATGGTCAACCAATATTGCCTTACATTTTACCTCTTTTACCCTTCTTGACGTAGTAATTCTGTGATTTATTCCAAATATTCAATAATATGATTTCTAATAATGAGATCAATTTTGTATTTGTTACTTTGTGCGTAGTAAGGGGCTTATCACACGATCTCTTTATTTTCTATATATTTATCCAAATATAATATTCCCTTGAGTGGATGTGGAGAATGTGGGAATGGTAACTTGTAAACTTGGGCAAGGAGCTTAGTTATTATGGGAGGAAGGGCCTATCATCTTTTCGGCCAAGGATCTACAGCTTTTAGTCAATTATGCACACACTGTCGTCATCATGATTTAGAAGCCATGCTATAACTATTTAAAGCAATAAAATTGTAAGGTTTCTTTTGTGAATTAACATTTGAAAAACGCAGCGGAAAATAATTTTAGGTTACTTTTGTATAAAACTTTTTAGTAAAAGAAACCCTTTTCGGATCCAATGACACATTTAAACATATCTAAACAAACCATAGGGTGTTTAGTTGTTTACCTTTAAGATTCTTTATAGATTCTGGAGCACCAGAAACCAAAATAGGTTTCCTCGCAATCCACACACCAACACGCCTGGCCTCAACAGAGTGCTAGCCCGAAACCCTTTTCTAGTATGTGTTTTAACATAAAAGAAAATAGGTTTCTTTTATGTTGTTATATGGTAATCTCTAAAATTCTAAAAGGATTAATTAATTTAGGCTTCGGCTTATCACCTAATTTATTGGTGGCCATTGGAGTTGTAGATAGATCATAATTCCCAAACATGGGCCAGGCCTACTATAATTCTTAGGCCCATATATTAAAAGCCCATCAAGCCAAAATATATTTACACATAAAACCCTGTAATTATCATAATTACACTTTAGCACATACTTTAACTATTCAGCTAGAATAACGATGATATTATTCGGGTTTCTGATTATCCAAAAATCATATCGAAGTATTCGTATTATTTGTGTGCGACCCTAGAGGTTTATGTACTCCTTAGCAGTAAACTGTGTGACACATGTCGTGGGGATATAAAAACTTACAAGAACCTTTTTGTGCTCAACTGCCTGATTGATTGAGATTCATAATGGAAGTATTCTTCTTTTCTCTTGCCACTTTTTGCTAGTCTCCCCACATCTGCTCTCAATTCTACTTTTCTGCTCACACCATGTGGCACATTCATCATATATTAAATGATGGAATTGGTTGTAGGGCAATGCACACGTCTTATGTTATCAATGTATCAGTATCTAGTTACTGCATAAGGCATACGACTATTAGTGAGGAAAAGCTAGATGATAATTTGGCTGAATCATCTGAATGATGGAAAATCTCCTTCATTGTGCTCCTTTTTTCCCTTTTGCTCTGGCAGGAGGTTTATTTAGGCTAGGGAGGAAGTTTTAAAGAAAGCAATCTGGTTTGAATGTTGGATGGCGTCTTCAAGTCATCTAGCAGTTGGTGTAAATTTAGACAAAGGGGCTGTTTGATTGGTTTTTCATCAAGTCCTCTAAGGATAAAGTTATCTGTGTGGATTAATTTGTCTGTATAGATTGGAAGGTTTTGTCATAGATGGAAGTAGCCTGTCTTTTAATTGGGAGGGGCATGTTTGGAAAAAACTTTGCATTCTGCATAAAGCTCCCCCTAGAAGCTTTACTGAATAAGCCACTTTCTATATCATTAAGTCACTACAAAATGGTCATGTATAGTTGACCGAATAAGATGTGAGTCGCATTAAGCTCATTAAGCTGCTGACAAGCAGGCCCTAACTAGCGTTCGTAATATGTTCTTCTGATGAAAATCTTCCCTAAAAACAATTGAGTGATTGAACTCCATCTTCCCAACTATTTGCAGTGAAATCCAGGCTCACAAACAATTAAGAAGACGATCCATGCCATACCGATAAGACTTTTTTCTTTTAAAAATGAATGGAAGATGTTACTAACAATCGGAAAGGGAGAGTTGTATCATTTGCAGTTGCTATGCATTAAGATGACATCAATATAATTCTTCCCGAGGCATATATTTCTGGTGGAACCTTTTTGCCTTTGCTTCTGTTAGCTCAAATGTCTTTTCTTCAAATCTACTATGATAAATATACTTCGGCCCCTCTACTTTATTCCTACCACTACACAAATGCTATCCACAACTATTGTCCAGAACACATACATGGGCGAATATATATATATATATATACACGGTCAGGTTGCGGGGAAAACTGCAAAAAACTCCTTTTCAATAGAAAAGAATAGCCAAACCGACCCAGCTGGCTGGTCAATGGGTGGTTTCTCCGTGGACAATGCCACCTTAAATCGTACAGCAGCGAGGGATAACCCGCCCATATAGCCAGTTCGCAGGTAAAGAGACTAAAGAAACAAGAACAGAAACAGTCTCTTGAAAATTGAAAAACTGAGGAACACCCCTAATAAGCATCCATTTGGATAGTATACATATGTGTATACAAGTAATTTGTCCGCCATGCATGTGTATACATATGCACACGTGCATAGAAATCAGGAAACATCTTCATTACTTGCATGCACATATGCATATCATACAGATGAACGATTATTAGGGTGTTCCTCAATTTTTCATTTTCTTGGGGGTCTTCCCTTAAACCTCACTATATATATGTATGCATAGAGGGAAGAAATGTTTCAGGTATGATTATTGCGAAATTCTAAATGGCTTAGTATCAATCAAATATAAATCACCATGCAAACTAAAAGTTAAAAGCTACAGCTCAGCAACTAAGCGAGACACAATATTCAGCACATAAAAATAAAAATAAAAAACTTTTGGAACGGTGTAAAGGGACCAATAATTTTTCTTTTCCATATATTGTATGATTGGCACCACTGTATTGTTTCTTGCAAGAAAGTTTGTCGGTGGCCTTGTGTTGAGGTAACCATTCTAGTTACTATTGTACAAGCGTTTTGTGATTTAGGGTGAACGTCACAGCTGGACCCGTTGAGGAGAGGATGATGCTTTCAGGAATGCATACTGTTACGGATATATTTTGTGTATGCTGTGGACAAATCGTTGGCTGGAAATATGTAAGCCTCCCCCCTCACACCGATCACACACCGTCACAGAGATTCATCCACATGAGTCCCTGTGTGCACTTCTTGGCGAAATTCTGTAGTTATCACACCAGGTCAAATGCAAAATCGGGCCATTAGCAAAGGCTACAACCGATATCGCGTATGCTAGTTGAAAATGCATATGCATTTCACCTGTAGGGGTAATTTCAGATGAGAACCGTAAACAAGAACCAACTATTCATGAATTATTCATATGATGAATATCCTTAATCATATTTTAGGGTTATTCATCATGAATAATGAAAGTGTATGATATTCATGAATATTTTAGGGTTATTCATTGTGAATAATTCATAATATAATTGGCTCATAAGTTTTCAAAATATCTACAGTTCTCATTTGAATATACCCCTTCTTAACCTGTATTGCTGCAGAATTCTCGCACTTGTGTTATTGTTGATTGTCGGCTCTCTCACTTAAACGTGATTAGCGCTTTAAAAATTTACGGGTTTCATTTGGGATGAATCTTGAAAACAGGAGACTGCACATGAACAATCCCAAAAGTATAAAGAAGGCAAATTTGTTCTTGAAAGGTATGCCCTCGTCTTTTAAGGCTGCTTTTGGTACATGAGACTGGACAAAACAGGACAAAACTCGCTGCCCCACGTTTGGCACGACATGTAACATGACAAAAACTCACTGTTCCATGTTTGGCTCCAATCACCCTCAGAGGGGGCCTTGCTACCACCCTCAGGTGGATTAGGGGTCACCCGGTCAAGATCCGAACAAGGAGCACTCAACTACTAGTATAGTCACATGGGACAGGGACTGGGTGGGACGAAAAAAGGTTTTCTTTTTCCATTTGATGACGTATATGTGTTTGTTGGACAGAGGAAGGATCATCGACGGACTTGATTCAGAATTTTACATTGATACCCGTCCGAGTTCAAGCGATGCTGAAGAAGCCTAGTGTTACTGTTTTCCCTAGACTAATATATACATACAAGAATAAATGGTGTAAGATGATGGAAAAATGTTTTTGTATGTTGGAAATAAGTTGTAGATTGTTGCTGTGTTGGATCGTCGTTCGACCAGAGCAATGCTTTATCTTTACTCTCGAGTTCAGAAAACACACACATTTACACAAGTAACTGTCAAATAGAATAAGGATATAATTGTAAAAATGATACCTTTTCTTTGCTTTCTCTTATGTTCGAGAAAATGAAAACGTTGGAAGCGTTTTTCTACGAAGTGGGTATGACGCTACCATCTAGAGCATTCTCATCCTATTGTACGTAAATCACATGTCCCACGGGCGTGTGGGTTGTATTTGGAGTTGAATCATGTATCTTTCACTCGTCTTTACCTGCTAGACTAAAACCGTGGAGACTCGGGGACTGTAACGTGACTAACCAGCCAGCAAGGAATTTTGAAAATTGAAATAATTTAGGGGACTGTTAAGACAAAACCGAAACTTATAGGATCAAAACTGTATATTAGTAAATATTAGTATAGGGATCATTATTGTAATTAACTTTCCCGTTTAAAAGAAAAAAAAGGAGAATTCTATCTACTTGCTCGACACTTTTGTTCCGTCGTCCGTCCTCATAATCCGATTGGTCGTCTGGTGGCTCCACGGATCATCGTGTGTGTATGTGGGAGGGGGAGAGAGAGAGAGAGAGAGATTTGGCTTCTATGGCGGTTTTAATTTGCTAATTGATCGATTCACGCTTATGACGTTCTAATCAATTTTGGTTTTCCGGAAATTTTCCATCTACTCGCGTTTTCTTTTGTTGTTTATAAATTTTGATCGCAGGTGAAATCAGTAGGGAATTAGAAGCTTAATGGGGCGCAGTGGTTTGTCCTCCAAAAGAAAACACTCGAAGAAAAAGAGTATGAAGGATTCTTCCGAGGTTTGTCAAATTTATGCGAGTTTCTAGTTTTAGGGTTTCAGCTTCTTCTCTGATCTTCTTAAATTGCTATCGTATAATGTTAATTTCATGTTTCTTGGCCGATCCTTGACACTTCTCCACAATGTTCTGTGATTACAAATTTACAATGTGAAATTTCAGTCAATTTACGAGGTTACAACTGGATAAGCAAATTGACTCCTGGCTTGCCTTAATGGGGTTTCGACATTTTTTATTTTTGCCTTCTTTTCTAGTTCACTTGCTATAGAATGGACTAATTTGTTATTCTAAAACTTGAAATGAAAAATGGTGGAAGGATGGAATGGTAACATCTTTATCTGGTTGTGATTGGTGATGCAAGAAAAAAGAAACCCTTAGTCATTAGTTCTGTCGAATGCATCTCCCCTAATTCTTGTATATGTCCTTTATTTGATTTACTTCCATATCTTCCTTTTGGATAGGGGTGACAGGAACAGCCTGATAGAAGAAGTATTGACTTGAAACACTTTGAACTCACTTTCAGTTTTCTTTATGTTCATGTTGGTTACAACGTCCATAGGGTCGTCGGAAAAAGAGAAGTAGCAGAAATAAATCCAAGAAGCTTCGTCGTCATGATGATTCTTTTTCTTCTGATGATGATGATGTGTCAACTAGTTCATCACTGGTTTCATCTTCCAGTTCGGAGGGTGAGTATAAAAGTAGAAGGGCACGCTCTCACACACGGAATGAAGTAAAGGGTAGTAGGAAACGGTCCAGAAGACGGTCATTGAGCGAAGAGAGCGGCAAGGATTCACCACTTGTGAAGAAGAGAAAGAGGTCTAAGAAAAAAGCTGACTCAGAAATGAGGAAGAAGAGTAAGAAGATCAAGAAGAAGAAGAAGTCGAGAAGAGATGCTTATATTAGTTCTGCAAGCAGTGGTTCCTCAAGCTGCTCCACTTGCGGAGATCGAAATAGTAGTAGTGACGAAGGGGCGTCACTTGGGAGGCGAAGGAGTAGGTCCAGAGAAAAGAAAAAGGATCATAGAGATTCTATCAAGGGTAGAAAGGGACATAGGAAGAATAGGAGTAGGTCTAGGAGTTCTTCACCGAGCAAATTGAGCAATAGTTTTGATGATGATGACAACATTGAGAAAGTGATGGTGGAAAACAACTCGAGGCGGTTAAAGTCTATTATTACTGTTGCAAAACCACCAGAGAACGAAGAAGAGAACGATAAAGATATGAAAAAGGACGAGCTTAAAGAAGAGATTGTGTATGACTATGATGATTACCCATCCTGTAAAAGCAATGATAGTAACGATGGCGAAAGCAAGAAGGAATTAGTTGATCGTTCTAATGTTTCACCTGAGAAAAGAAGGTTGCTAACAAGTGTTATTGGAGAAGTAAACTCATCTTCTAGCCTAAAAGATAACGAACCCGTCTCACCTGACAAGAATCCAGGTAAAGAATGTGTTGGTTCTAAGGAAGACGAGAGCAATGCTTCTGGTAATATGGGATCAGAAGTGGATAAACTGGAGTCAATATTGAGACAAAAAGCTTTAGAAAACCTTAGTAGATTCCGAGGTGGGATTCAAACAAAAACAGTAGTTCCTGTTGATAATAAACATAAAAGTGATCAAAGTGGTGTTAAGCAGTCGATTATTCAAACTCCAAGCAGACTACCTGTTCCGGAGCAGGATAGTTATAGCACGATGGCTGTGCCACAACCAGTAATCCCGAGGAGTAGGTTTACATGGCGGAGAGATCCTTCTGTTACCATAGGGAAAGAAGAAAAGGCTGCAACCAACAGTGGAACCGAATCTTGTAGACCTCAGGCACCTGCACCCAAATTACAAACTGCAAATTTATCTTCCACCCCTTGTGTAGAAAATAAGATGAAAATTATGAAGAACACTGGTCACAGTATTGGTGGTATAGAAACTAATGATGGCCAAAAGGCAACTACTGGTCTTGAAACCAAAGAGGGTAGCTCAAAGGAGCAGCAAACTGAAAGCAACAACTCACAGTTTGAGAAGAAGACAATGTCTGTGATGAGAGGTGGTGAAATGGTGCAGGTAAGTGTTTATTGCTTGTAGTTCCAAGCCACAAATAGTGAAATGATGGCTTATATGATTTGACACATTTTCTGTGTGCAATCTTTAGTACTCCTTCCATTCCAAAATAAGTGTCCACTTTTCTATTTTAGTTTGTCCCAAAATAAATGTCCATTTTCAAAAGTAACCGCTTATTTTCCAATTCTATCTGATGGAAACATTTATTGCTCCCTCTAGATAAAATTGTCATCTAGTTGATTAGAAAGTGTACTAATTACCCATATCTAAAACCGTCCTTTTCATTGTGGACATTTATTTTGGGACGGGGAATATGTGGAAACTGTAAAGAGATGGTAAATTATTACTCTGCACAGATTTTCAGCAGCAAACATCCACATTGTGCTCTCGAATTTGGGGAGAAAAGAAAAGAAAGGGATGAAAAGATAGGAATAGAAAATAATTTTTTTATTTGTGTTCTCGAGATGGAAGGAAAAGTAAAGAAAGGAAAGGAAATATGTCATTTTTACAAATATGACTTTTAATGAATGGTTGGGTAGTTTTGTAATTTTAATAATCTTTTTAGTGGATCTTAATTTCTTTCCTTTCCTTTCCTTTTCTCCCAAGTTTGGGAGGAAACTTATCATTATTTTCCATTCGTTTCCTTTGCTTTCTCACCTAAAAAAGTTTTGAGAACACGAGCTTTTTTGACTCTCCTCCCCTTTCCTTTGTAATAAAAGTTTCGAGAACACAGCGAGTGTGCATGTTATGAAACACAATCTTCTATGGTACAAATACCATTTCATGCTAGGAGTGAATGCCAGTGAAAATTTGTGCAGTTATTGGTGTTGATTTAAGTTTTTTTTATTTATTTAATTTAGTTCAATGAATTATGCAAATTTGTTTCAATCTTTGATGCCAGGTGAGCTATAAGGTTTACATCCCCAACAGAGCTCCTGCTCTGGCTCGGAGACAACTCAAGCGGTGACGTGCAATACATGTTTATGGTAACATACGCCCTTCTTCTTACTCCTGAATCAAGGTAAAGTTGGAAGTGAGTGTGCGTAATTTTGCTAAAACGAACATACGGGTGGTGGTTTTATATTTGGTCAAGTTTGTGTTATACAAACTGTATGTGAAATAAAGGATATGCTGTAACAGACTTGGTTTTTCTTCGCATTATCCATTAACATCTATGCTTATCTTGCAAAGAAATATTTCTTGTTACGTGCTTTTATTTTGCTTTGATTGACTCGTGTGCCATAATCGTTGAGCTTGGATTGCAAGTCGAGATTTATACGAGTTTGATAGCAGGATGAGATCGAGAATGCGTGATTATTGACCACAATGATCGTCGGATTTGTAGGAGAAAATGGAAGGATGAATATGGGAAATGATCCAAGAATGAGATTTTTCTCCAAATTTGATGTAAATTTCTGCAGACTTTTTATTTAGTGACATAGCAAATTCATCACATTTTTTGTTGTGTTACTGTTTATCACATCAAATGTTGACAGGATATTCATGATGAATGGTTTCAACAAACCAAACCTCATCTCATGTCTATAACCATCAACTACTCTTTCACCTTCCTCTTTCCACTTATGCAAGCCCAATCATCGATTTTCGACACTGTCATGCCTTCCAAAAGATTCGAGTATCGATCTACAACAGTCGGTACCTAAGATGGAGAAAAACGCCGTTTAGTTGCTTTGCTGATTTACACCGTAAAAAAAAACTAGGGGCATATTCATATGAGAATCATGAACTAATGAAAGTGCAGTGAATAATTAGAGGTATACTGACCATGTGGGTTGGGTTCACGTGAGACAACTTTTTTACACTTTTGCTGTGAAGGTAAAAAGAAGTCGAACCTTCACAACAAAAACGCTGTGAAGGTTACCTTTACAGTATTTTGCTGTGAAGTTTTAAGTGTAAAAAAGTTGTTTCACTTGTCTCACGAAAACAATGTTGTCTCACATGATCCCAGATAACGGTTACGTAAAGATCATTGACCATTTAGAAGATACCTGGTCCAATATGATACCAGAAAGAGCTATTACAGCAGCAGGCTTGGCATAAGAAACAATCTCATCTGCCAAATCTAGCAAAGGGTTCAAAAGAATGTTTGCAACAACCACATCGTATGTCGCTTTCTCGAAGATCATTTCCATGCCATTTAAATCAACGTCGTTAGCCTTGGCTGCCCATTGCCATCCGTCTGTCGACAAAGGATTGGTGTTATTAGGAACAAGCTGCAATTGCAATTTGTCGGGGCCTATGTTGTTGAGATCGGCATTATGGCGTGCGGCTGTAATGGCTTGAGGATCTATATCCAACCCTGCTGATGAGGCTGCACCAAACTGTGTATTCAAGCCATATGCAAATGGTTACACGATGGATGTTTAGAGCATCTCAAACGGCTTCTCCATAATATATATATATATATATATATATATATATATATATATATATATGTGTGTGTGTGTGTGTGTAGGGACATTGAGAACCACTGATCATGTGTTGTTGACTTGTTTCAATCACAATTCATGTGAAAGTACAACGTTGTTTCACAACATTATTCGTACTTTTTGATACTGTTTGTTCCACATTTTGAAACAACAATGTTCCCCAATGCATTATTTCACAACGTGAAAACAACACATAATAAGCGGTTCTCAACCTTTTTCAAATACGGAGAAGATTTCCTTTTGTCTCATATTTTCTTCATTTTGAAAGCAGATCTGACCTCTACTCTGAAATAATAGAGCTACCGTTTTCATGAAAACCGACCTGAAGGTGGGGTCCGGATGGATGTAGAGCGGAATTACCTTTAGTGCCGCAATTGCAAGAATCCCGGAACCGGTGCCGTAATCCAAAACCTTTTCTCCACCTTTGATTAAACCATGTAATACCAAGAGACATAACTTGGTAGTAGGGTGGTCTCCAGTTCCAAATGCCAACCCAGGGTTTAAACTTATAATTGTTGCTTCAAGATCCTGTCCAAAACCATCATGCTAAATTGTTATGGAAAAAAACTGTCAAATATCGTTTTCATGTTTTAAAACCGTAAGTGCAAGTGCGAATAAAGTGAAAATATCTGGTACGGGTAGTCGGGGATGTTACAAATGGTATCAGAGCCGGGAACTGGACTGCTATGGGATCCCTGGGGGAATGGAGTATGAGATCTCATAACCGATAAAGGGAACAAAGGTTGCCTTATAAGGAACTGGATACCTCCTCTATCAGTTGCGCTTTAAAAAAAGCAAGTCCAGGTATAGATAAAGTAGATAATATCTGGTACGGTTGGCTGGGGATGTCACATTCAGAAAAGAGAAGAATAAATGAAAAATCATACTGGGGGAGTTATCCACTCGGGCACAATCCAAAGTCCTTCCGTAACTTCAATGGGATGGAAAGAATCCTGCAACAAAAGTTTATATACCAAGACTTTGAATTAAGCCTGTGTATGGATTTAGCTGTCTGTATGGATTAAGTAGCATCCATAGCTGTCTGTATGGATTAAGTAGCAGAGGTAAGAAAGCAATCTAACCCGAGAATTCTCAATCCAATCGGATTGGTAACCGACTGTGACTTTGTAAACAGGTGTTTCTTTCAATCCTATGGAGTCGGCAGCTTGTGAAATACTTCGATGCACATCTTGATTTACAGTAAATATCGAACTAAACGAGATCTGCGAAGTGATATGGATTCAGGAAGCAAAAGAGTAAAAACTCCAATATTATATTTTCAATGAGATTTCAGATCATGTGAAACCAACCTGTTTCCGTGAGACCACAATATAACATTGACAGCAAAAACACTGTAAATGTTACACTATGAAGGTAAACCTTCACAGAGTTGGTGTTTTTGCTGTGGAAGGTTATGTGTTCTTTTGTACGTTCACAGTGTTCTTGCTGTGAAGTTTCAGTGTTATAACACTCTCGGCAAAAACACTGTAAAGGTACACTATGAAGGTAAACTTTCACGGTGTTTTTGTTGTGTGGTTTTTTGTACTTTCATAGTGTTTTATTGTGAAGGTTTAGTGTTATAACACCGGCAACAAAGACACTATAAAGGTACACTACGAAGGTAAACCTTCACTTGTGATAACAGCGACAACAAAAACCCTGTAAAGGTAAACCTTCATAGTGTTTTTGCTGTGAAAGGTTCGGTCGTTTTTTTTACCTTCACGGTGTTTTATTGTGAAGGTTCAGTGTTATAACACATAGCAAAAACACCGTAAAGGGACACTATGAAGGTAAACCTTCTCGCTGTTTTTGCTGTGAAGTTCAATGTTTTTTGTACCTAGTGTGTTTTGCTGTGAAGGTTCAGTGTTATTTTGTGATCTCGTGGTGTCAAAAAAACAGACGGGTTTCATGAGAAGCCAACCCCATCCAATGATTTACCTCATCACTAGAGTTGCAGGTGTCTGGTTCAACCATGCTTGTGGAAGCTGCACCAAAACATAAAAGCGCCTCTGAAAGCATATCCTGATCAAACAAGATGGGAACTTGAAATCATTACATGAACAGTAACCATATTAGGGTATACATGAAAAGGTGTGTTTGCTTTTCTCTAATTTCAATTCCATGAACTTGAAGAGGGGTTAGAGGGAAGATCTTACTGCAACATCTTGACGACATTGGATGTCCACAGTTAAGTATGAACCACTGGTCGAAGTTTCAGAAACCGAAGAAGAAGATGTAGAGAATGCTGCAGTAATTGGATTGGAATTCAAGAAGTCTGTCAACTTTCTTGATGGATAATCTCTGGTGGAACCAATTAACATAGAAGTGGATCCATGAGTGAGCGTTGAAGTGTTGCGAATCGATGAGAAGGAAGTGCACGCCAAGTGTTTGAAGAAATGACTACGGAAAGAAGCCAGCAGCATTGACATGGTGTAGAAGCGCCTGAGGTCAGATAACCGAGGGGGCAAAGAGAAATATTTAACCAAGAAAATAACACAAAAATCTTATCGCAGTACATTTTCATGGCGTCAATCAACACTTAAAAAACGCACCCAGTCGGTCCACATCGCCATCTCCATGATCCACTCATCTCCATCACCGGAAAGACTCCACAGAACCCAGTCTGCCATGGTTTTTTCCTCAATTTGCAGCATTGGTGCTCTATTCAGCCATACCCAAGTTGCAGAAGATGCTTCATCCTGAAGAAATCAAATCAGGTGGGAATTTGGTCTCTTCTGTTTGACACTATGCGTGAAAAAGATTTTGCAATAATTCTTCGAGTCTTCGAGTTAATAGAAGCGTCTATCAAAGCTCAAAAAGAAAATCAAGGATCAAACGAGATGATGGGTTCGTTGCTAGCATTCTTCTTGGTACCAGAGGTTATCATTTTTTTTTGCTTTATGGTCACCAACTGTTTGATTATATGCCTAAAAAGGATTTTGGTTTCAATTTTGCATCTTTTATCCATTTTCTATTTGGGATTCTTCGTATAAATGGAGTTGTTCTTCCATAATAAGAATCGTACCAACCCCATATTAGTAAAATATGTTTAATATTTCGTTAGAATCTGCAATTAATAGCAGATCCTAACAAAATATCAAAGGAAGTTTAAGTGCAACAAGGGATGTAAATGATTTGAGCTTTTAATGAGCTGCTCGTGCTTGAGCTTAATAATTACCATTGTTCGACTCAACTCGTTCGAGAACTCAATTAAATTTTCCGAGTCGGGCCGAACTATTCGAACATATACTTTTTCGAGTCAAACATTCTCATATATTCATAAATCATAAAATATAAAAATTATCAAGCTCTAAGCCAATAAACGAGACAATCGATCGCGAGTTCGAGTCCATAAAACAAGCATCTAGCTTGGTAATCCAAAAAACATTAGATCTCAAGCACTTTAAAACTCGAAGCTCGAAAAACCTACTACTCGAGTCGGCTCGTTTACACCCCTAAACGCAACCATACAACATACCGATCAAAATCAATAATTAAACAAATTACAGTATGATCTTTTACAGCAGATGCATAAAGTTTACAACCCACGAACAAAAAGAGATGTAGGCAAGGCATTTTAGTGTACAACAACATTCCACTACAGTGATGCAGTATAAACTAAGCTTCAGCCAAAAAGATTTGATAAACTACGAGAGAACAATTTACAGATTTCTCTACATGTTATGTACATTTGAATAAATTAATAGATAAAGAACATAAAATGCATCACGAAAGTCATAAAATCGCAATCAACAAAATCCAATCTCTCTTAAGCTGTGTTGGCATCTCGAGAAGTATGTCCGTGCCATCTGCACCAAACAAAATGTCCAGATTACAACCACATTCCCAGAAACATATATAGGATACAGTCATATGATCCATAAAAACCATTCATAATTTATCAGTTCATCATTCATAACAAATTTGATTGATTTCTTGTACTGTATTAACGAAATGGAACTGTAAAATCTGTGGGTTCAGTGTTTCCTCCATCGGGTGGTACTAAAATCCATTCCATTAAGCCTCAAAGGTTGGCATATGGCAAAGAATCTATCTATTTACTTGAACCTAATAAATTACACCGAGATAAAGTAACAATCCAATTCAAAGAATGCTCAAGACACCATTTGTATTCACGAGTTGAAAAAGACCGGCAAGATGCTCGGATAAAAAAAGGGATCAGCTGACATACCTAGAAAGCAAGAACTTTGCGAGTGGGCTTAAGTTAGCATTTGACTGAGCCTCCTTGTTCTGTTGCTTCTTTTTGCTATCAGCTTCTGGATTCGCATTCACTGGCGGTTCACTTGCTTTTTTACCCTTAGAAAAACCACGAATCGCCACATCTTGCAGATTTTTCAAAGATGGTTCCTTTGAACTGAAAGAAAAGAGCATCTTTATGTAAAAATGCAACAAAAAGTATATCTTTAGAAATACTAATCCCATGGGGCCCTGCACATAACAGCTAGGAAAATCGCTAGTGGCCATGAGGAGACTCGAACTAACAACAAATGGGGAAGAGGCCCAAGGTCTAGCCTTTAGGGTACATTTAGTATACTTGATAGGACAAACCAAGGATCCACTATTCCACGTTTGGCAGGACTTTTTTATGTGGAACAGACAGGAACAAAGTGGTACAAGCGTGTTCCATCCCCATGTATTAATCAAAATATATAAAAGATATAGACAACTCATTAGAGGTAAACTGGTCATTTTATTTGTTCTGTCCTGCCCAGTTTTGTCTTACAAACGCTGAATAGTTGTTCTGTCATGTCCTATCCTATCCTACCTGCCTGGATACCAAACGGATACCAAACGAACCCTTAGAAGTATGACATGAGAGCATGGGAATATAATAGGTCATGTACCTTGCTAGCCGGTGAAGCAACCTTGTAACAAGGAATTCACAAGAACCAGGCTTTGTGTACTCCATATCCATCAAAGAGTTTATAACCGTATGCACAACAGAAGTGTCTAAATCGTCAGAAACTGCCTACATTATATGCAAAAACAAATCACTTTAGGATCATCTCCAACAAAAGATTCACTTCCTATTTGAATGTAGGCAAATAGCATCTACTAGAGTTCATCACAACCTTTAAAATATACGCTCTCACCTTATTATGCAACATAACTGCACTATTCTAGGTCCTTGTTGTCTTATGTAATGGGTGGCTAGTGGCTATTTTTCTTTTTCAATGACGTTTTTGCAGAGGCGAATCAACATCATATTACTAGACCTAGGGTCGGTTTGTTACCAGCTTAATGTGCTTAATAAGTTTAATGGGATTTACAGCTTATTCGGTCATCTATCCATAACAGTTTGGTAGTGGCTTAATGATATAGAAAGTGGCTTATTCACTAAGCTTCTAGGAGGGAGCTTTATGCAGAAATCCAAGTTTTTTTTTCCAAACATGACCCTCTCAATTAAAAAAATGCATTCCTTCCATCTATGAGAAAACCCTCCCAAACAAAAAGTTCTCCAATTTATACAGACAGATTAATTTAGACATACAGCTTTATCCATACAGGACTTAATGAAAATTCAACCAAACAACCCCTTAAACATGCCATAATGTGTGATAAATATAACAAGCATGCCCACCTCTTTCAAAGAAGGCATTAACAGAACAGACAACGGAGCAGACGCTGATGTTGCAGATACTCGGAGTCTCTCCTCTTCATCACCACTTGCTTGCCGAGGTTTCGAAAATGATTTTATTGCATCATGGTAGTCATGGTTATCTCTGTAGCAAGGATTACAATATTTTAGCTGATAATTAATGTTTCTAATGGTGGCAATAGTGGTGGAAGATGAAAATGATGAAATAATTTTCAAGGGACGATTTTTGTAATAAAAGAATTAAAAATAAGTTACCTGTTTGTCTTCCAACATAACAGGCTTGACTTAACAGACCTCGATTATAATAATGAGACCCAAGGTTTTAAAAGGCGGAATTGGGCCTTGTGGCGTTTTCCCTCAACGAGGCGAGACGTAAGCCTCAAGGCGGTCCGAGGCGTAAGCACAAGGCGGAGATATATACACCAAAATATGTATATACTTACACAAACTTATATACAATTGTATATAGGCGAAGGATCGTGTGAGAAGTGAAGTTATGGTGAGAAGTGTAAGAAGAGATCTGAACCCTTGATCACTATTAATCTCATGCCCGCCCATGAATTGCGCTTTAGAAGGGAATTGATCTGGTGCATCTCGGTGCACCTCATTAGTGTTGACATTCAATTATGATTGATCCAAGGGTGGAGTTCTCTTCTTACGCTTCTCACTGTAACTTCCCTTCTCGCCGGAACCAACCCCTTTTATATATATAATATGGGTTGGATTTCAATGAGGAGAGTTAAGGTGAGAATATAATATGGGTTGGATTTCAGTGAGGAGAGTTAAGGTGAGAAGCGTAAGAAGGGATCTCCACCCTTGGATACACATTAGGATGAGATGCACCAGATCCGTCCCCATCTCAAGCGCGATTCATGGATGGGTTTGAGATTAAAGGTGATCAAGGGTCCAAATCCCTATATAATATTATATATATAATACATATATATGATAATCACTAAGAAGCGTTGGTTCAGCGGTTCTTGACAGATGAAAGAGTGAAACCGTGAGATCGCCGAGAAGGGTGGAAAATCTGGTTGCTTGGAGGAAGAGAAAGGGTCAAACCACACTTTTTGAGTGAGAAAAGTACTCGCTTTTTGGGTTTTAAAATATTAAAAGTACACATTGGGGCCATTGCACTTTTGACTTTTTGTTTTCTTAAAGTAAAAAGACTCTTATACTATAAATAAAAGTACAACTACTACTGTAAAGCTTATAAAAAAGTCAAAAAAAACCATTAGCAAAGAAGATCATCAGAGGCATACGCCTCGACACTGCCTCACGCACCACCAAACCGCCTCACTGAACCAAGGCATAAGCCTCATCCAAGGTCCAAGAGGCGCCACCTCAGGTGTGGTTATGATTTATAAAACCATGATGAGACCAAGTCTTACCTCGAAGAATCAGTAGTATTTGTTGATTTCTCTGCTCTTCTACTTTCTTGGGCATCTTTGTTAGCCTTACCCAAACCAGACCTATCTCTGACATTTCCTTTCCTCATTCCTCCTTGAATTGCAGCCTTTGCCTGATATCATACGAGCTCAAACAATTTAGAAGGTGATAGAGATTATCAATTGATCGTGAAAAAACATCAATGTCAACATATATATATATATATATATATATCAAACAACCTCTGCAAGGTTTATTGCACTGTCTTCAGGGGAAGCAATTGAAGTTCTCTCTTGACTTCCCAGCCTTGACTTAGGAGTTCGAGGAGAATCTGAATTGTCATGTTGTCCATGGTACACAACAGTGCCATTGATGGAAGCATCCTCAGGAGAAGTAAACATGCTGCTCAACTGTACAGCCACCAACAAATCCATTAAGCCAAGGACAAACATAGTTCTACATCATGCAATTATGGTGCATTTGGTAAGCAGGACAGAATAAACAGGACAGAGCAAAACGAAAATTAGTCGCACATTTGGCATGACATTAGACTGAGGGTCTGTTTGTTAGCAGCTTAAATGAGCTTAATGAGACTCGCAACTTATTAGATCAAGTATACAGGACTGTTTGGTAGTGGCTTAATGATAAAGAAAGTGGCTTATTCAGTAAGCTTCTAGGGGGAGCTTTATGCAGAAAGCCAAGTGCTTTCCAAACCCGTCATTCCCAACTAAAAAACAGACTCCTTCCATCTACGAAAAACCCCTCCCACACAAAAACCTCCCCAATCTATATAGCAGATAATCCACACCGACAACTTTATCCTACCATAGTACTCTGGTCACTGGAGTGTGAGGATGTTTGTGCTCTCGGAGATCGAACGACAATAGTTCCTGTGCCACCCAGAGATGTAACTTCCTGTGGGAAGGAATTAAAACAACTTCAGACAAAAACAGGACAAGAAACGCATAGTACGTCAGGTACGGAGGAAAGACTCACATCATCCTTGTAATAATCTTGTTTTTCCTCTTGAAATGACTCTCCAACATCTCTACCAATCGAAACTTCAGAGGCATGATATGATGCACCCCCAGAAATTCCAACCGTTTTCTTTTGAGTTGCTTGATTTGAAAGCCCGTCCATTTTCCTCTCTCTAGCTTGAGGTGGTTTTATAGCACTTCTAACTGTCCCAGTACTTGTAGACCCCCCTATGCTGAAATCCCAGCCGGCATTTCTGATAGTTTTGCATAGCAAACACCAATCAGCCAAAGTTTTCAAGTATGGTCAAACGTTAATTAACATATTCTTGGTTACAATCCACCTGACTTGAACAGTATCTTCAACTCTTGAAACGCTCGCCGTTTTCACGGTATCAGATCCTTCCCCCAATACGTTTGTTCCATCTGGTGAATTCCCATCTTCCTTTATTTGGAACTTTGGCCGTTCTCTGTCAAAAAAACGCAAGAATTTTGTCAATCTACTTGTGAGGGGAGGAGGATGAAATAATAGCACACTAGATGTTACAAATTTCTTACAAGCCAAAGTTTTAGAAGTGTGTGATTACTGCACTTTTCAATTAACTAAATGACAATTTTACCCTTGATAATAGAGGGAGTGATGAATTTCTCCATCTTTTAATTAAGGGCAGAATTGGAAAGTAGGCATTTACGTTTGAAAATGGACAGTAATTTTGGGACAATTGTGCACCTGATTCTGTCCAGGAGTTTTGGAGTCTTCTTAGCATTCCTAATAAACCGATGCTTCAGAAGTTCCTTTGCACTTGGCCTCTGAAATATGAAAAAATATGAAACAGCATAAGCAGAAGGACCCAATAGTCATAGTTTAATAGACCTCATTTAGGACCCGTTTGTTAGCAGCTTAATGAGCTTAACGGACTTACAGCTTATTCGGTCAGCTATACATGACTGTTTAGTAGCGGCTTAATGATATAGAAAGTGGCTTATTCAATAAGCTTTTAGAAGGAAGCTTTATGCAGAGAAAGTCGAGTTTTTTCCAAACCTGCCTCTCTCAATTAAAATATACGCTCCTTTCATCTATGAAAAAACCCTTCCAAACCAAAACCTTCCCATCTTTACAGACAGATTAATCCACACAGACAGTTTTATCCATACAGGACTTAATGAAAAACCAACCAAACAACCGCTTAGTTAACAAAAGCACACATTTTAAATTGTAAAACGCTTTTCTTCTCTACCACAATATAGAGATTGTATATCATTAAGCTTCATATTGAAATATTTTTCAAAAGAAAACCAAACAAATAGGGCAACATAGTCAAATCTTAATTCGCATACTAAGATCACACGCAAATGAGTGGGAGTCAAAGGGGGAAAAGTACATACTTCGGCAGGCAACTTCTTCAAACACAACAAAACAAATTCTTTCATTGGACGAGAAAAATGCTCGTCTAACTGCAAGAAAGATCCAATAGTAAATGCCAACGTTGTAACCTCTAGTAACTCATCGTATAAGCAAAACCCATCCAAAAGAACATGTCCAATAAAAAATAAAGACCCCGGTTATGAAAATGTCTTAAAATCACGTTACACAAAATCCGCCCCCACTAGATAAAAAGGGTGAGTGAATCACATATAAAAGGCAACCTAAATGATGTTACAGAAAGAGAATTTAAGGACCTGAGGTGGACTTTCTCTGGGTATAATGAAAAGTACTCTCATTGGGTGACGATCCGCTAGCGGAGGTTCCCCCTTCGCCATTTCTATTGTAGTTATTCCTAAAGACCAAATATCTGCCTGCAAATAAACGCACCAAAATAAGAAGCAAATAAACCAAATGGAGTAGGTTTTGAATCTTGTCTTACCCATTTAGGGTGCGTTTGGTATCTAAACAGGACAGAAGAGCTATTCAGCGTTTGGTAAGACAGAATTGGACATGACAGAACAGATAAAATAACCAATTTACCCCTAATGAGTTGTTTGTATATTTTTATTAATTATGTAATTTATGAAACTATGATAAACTAAATATTTTTTATAGTTTGAGGACCGTAAAGTGAAAGTTTAAATAGCATAAAATACAATAAATAAAATCTAAGTAATGAATAAAATGTAAAGGAGGTGTATATGATGTTTTAGAAGAGAATTAAGTTCTATTTTGAGGTTATATTGGTAAAATATAAGTCTATTCCACCTTGTTCCATGGGGTGGGGATGGAATACGACTGTTCCACTTTGTTTCACTTTGTTCCGAATAAAAGTTCTGTCAAATGTGGAACAGTGATTCCCGTTCTGTTCTATCTTGTCCACTGTACCAAACGTACAAGGTAAAAATGCAATAGAACCTTCTCATTGTATCCATCTGAATTCTGAATTACTTCTGGCGCCATCCAAAATGGTGTTCCTACAAATGTCTATTACCAACAAATCTATTAAAAACCGACCGTTTGTCAATATTTTACCTTCAATATAAAAACAAATAGGACATGAAAAACACAACGTTGGAAAACACGGTCATTAGGACATGAACCCGATCATACCTTTCTTCTAGAAATTGTCCTGGTTAGTTGTGCAGACACACCAAAGTCCGCAACCTGTCACAAGATTGAGAAAAGAAGTACCGTGAGCACAAAAATTCATATTTAGTACATGGCTACATGCATCATTCGTCGTCATAAGAGTTTTTTTTCCAAATATAGCAATAATGACCCTCGATTGACACAAATTAACGTTAGAAGTACCTTAACATCACCATTCTCCGTCAACAAAATGTTTGCAGCTGCCAAAATGTGAGAAAAATTTTGTCGTTACGCACGCAGGCGTAAAATAATAAACATCATAGAATATCAAAAATTACCTATAAAGAAAATATATCATCTTATTCCTCAACATATTATGAATTTTATTCCCCCAATATTGTAGTATACAGGAAAAACGAAAACGAAGATGTAAAAACACGCTTTCTCAGCAAAAAGATCAAAGATTTCCTTCGGGCAAGTTCCATACTAATTTTTAGAAGAAGTAGCTGATCAAAAACCGAGCACCCGCGATCTAAATTTTATATATGTAACTCATTACTAAGTCTTAGGGGTTGTGAGAACCTTTGATGTCTCTGTGGATCTTCCCTTCGTTGTGGAGATATTCGATTGCAAGAAGCAAGTCACGTAAAATGCAGGCTATAGACATTTCATCCAACGGTTGATTTGGTTGGATCTGGGGAAGAAAGGTACAAACTTTATCGATTAATTATTTTACAAAAATAAAATAAAATGAACATTTAAGCGAAAGAACAACTTCATCAATTGATTATTTTAGAAAATGGGAGACGGGAATATGTAATTCTTGTTTGGAATATAAAAATGTGTTATTTTGTGAAAATAAACATCAAGAAGTCACCAAAGGGCCTTTGGCCTAGCGGTATCGTAGCCTTTGGCCTCCTAGGAGGTCAGGGGTTCAAACATCACCAAAGATGAGGAGGGTGTGTGAGTTTATTTGTTGCATTTGCCGTATATTATTACATACTTCAGAAAAACATCAAGAAGTCAGTGAAGTAACCTACTAGATCGGCAACAGAGCCGCCAGCCATGTACTCCATTATTATCCACAGTTTAGTTTCGTGAAGGTAGGACCCATAGTATTCTGTTATATACGGAGATCGGCACTGTTGCAAAACTGCTATCTCCTGAAAGAAATATTATTGACAAAGCTATTAATATTTTACAGTTTTACTAGAAGTAAATACAATTTATAAGGACATGGATGTACCTTTTGAATGTCCTCGATTTCATCCTCTCTGCAGAACATAGATGAAAATTTTAATATAAACACGAAAAGTAATTAGTAGCATCTTTTTTTTGAGTAAACGTGGGTTTCTGGGCCAATTTACGCGCACTGATTAATCCCGGGGGCGGCAGGTGAACCTCCATGGCCACATTGGTTTTGGCAGCGTTTGGATTCGAACCCGGGGTAGATGAGATTTTCCATTACATCCTCTGAGGCTTAACCAGTGCGCCAGAACCCGAGTGGTTATTAAACGTTATCAAGATAGAAGAAACTCACGATTCTTCCAAATCAATAACTTTAATAGCAACATCTTTGTTTAGAACCTTGTCAAACCTGTACATCGAAAAGAAAAAGTTACGGCTGTTGGCTTAGCAAGGATAATGACATTGTGACCATGTATATATACGAATCCGCTTATAAAAAGATATGAACCAAAAAGAATACGGAATGAAATATATCAAGATGAAAAGATTTGTGAAAGCCCCTTCATTTCTTGTGTCCAAGTTGCTTCTTTTTAGTTCGTCTGTTTTGAGCCTTTCAAGATATTAACGAGCGATTTTTCAAGTTCAGCCATGACCCAACCTATTTTTACAATGCATACAGACATCCCTGCTTTTGGATGCATCTGAAGAATTATTCTAGAAAACGAAGGGGCTGTTCGGTTCCTTTTCCATCAAGACCTGTATGGATAAAGTTGTATGTATGATAAACGAAGAGACGTTCTTTCAGAGGCAACAAAATGACCAATTTACCATATTAGTCATCAAGGCGAAAAGGGCGAAGATAACTGTAATGTGTTTATAGAGTATCAAGTATAATGATATAAAATATGAAGGGAAAACATGATGAAGCGAGAGCAATATCACATTAAATAACAAGATTCAACTTATAGTGTTCTATTTTCACTCACTTTCAAAAATTGTATTTAACATTTCTACCGAAATTTCGGCATGACCTATTTGTAAAGTCGTGTTATGCCATTTTAATAACGTGTGCGCATTTGTATATATAATAATTTGAGAAGAAATGTATATACGAACGCCACATGTACCAACTAGTCAATAGACATGCAACTATTTACAATGGATGGTGCTAACATTGGTCCAACCATAATGATGAGCGTTTTTTCACGATGAATTTGCGTCCAAATAGTTTCTACCCAAAACCAAATAAACGGATAAACGATTCCCATTAAGAATAAACCAACGAATTCCCATTAAGAATTCCCCGAAACCAAATAAACGAAAACATCTTTCCTTAAGTGAACTAATTCCATGTATGGTAGCAGTAGGATCTGGAAATTTGGTTGACAGTTACACCAAATCCTTGTCTAATATAAGTTAATTACAACCAGGAAACGTTATGCTTACACGAACCACCAAAAACAGCATTAAAAAAGTTAATTTTGCACAATATAAACACTAAACAAGCGTGCTTTTCACATAGTATTGCAAAACCCTAATGCCCGATTGCTCTCACGCTGCAGGAAGAACATCTATGGGCCTGTTTGTTGGCAGCTTAATGAGATTAATGGGACTTGCAACTTATTTGGTAAGCTATAGATGACTGTTTGGTAGTGGCTTAATGATATAGAAAGTTGCTTTTTTACTAAAGTTGCTTATTCAGTAAAAAACATGCTCCTTCCATCTATATGAAAAAACCCTCCCAAACAAAAACTTTCCAATCTATATTGACAGATTAAACCACACAGGCAATTTTACCTGTACAGAACTTAATGAAAAAACAACCAAACAGCATCTAAGTAGCATCATCCAAGACTGTTGGCCTCTCAGACATCAGGGTTACCATCTAACCATTCAATTTACATCTAATCCTCTCATATAGCAGGAAGGCCATTCAAAATAGCATATAATGCAATCCCATCAGAAAGACCATATGGGTTTCTTGTATCCATCTAGATTTAATGTTTAAGAAGACAGATTAGGACCTGTTCATTAGCAGCTTAATGAGCTTAACGGGACTGACAGCTTATTCGGTCAACTATACCAATATATGATTGTTTGGTAGTGGCGTAATGATATAGAAAGTGGCTTATTCAGTAAGCTTTAGGGGAGAGCTTTATGCAGAAAGCAAAGGTTATTCCAAACCTGTCCTCCCAATTAAAAAACACACTCCTTCATTCTATAAAAGAACCCTCCCAAACAAAATCCTTTTCAATCTATACGAACAGATTAATTCACACATAACTTAAAGGAAAACCAACCAAACAGCCCCTTAAGTACTATCATGCATTCCCACATTGAATGTTAACAGACTGCAAAATTCTAAAGTTGGTTCAACAGAGAAAAAAAAAAACATGTTAAAGAACATTAGAAAGCCAATCATCCAAAGTTAATATATGTATATATGCAACAGGCAAAAACCCAGAATTACCCTTTATAGACATCTCCAAAAGATCCTCTTCCAATGAGTTCAAGGCTACTAAACCGCGATCCTGTCGCCACCATAAGACCTGCTGCATCTTCCATCTCCACTCAAAAAAAGACTAATCCTTTACAGTTTCCAACTTCGAACTTATCAAATCTGAAACAACACTTTAAGAAAAGAATTGACCCATCAATCAGCAAGAAACTCCATACCCCCACAATCAACAGAAAAACGCAATGATTTTGTCAATGGAGATCATAATGCGGCGAGAAGAACACTCAAAAGTTAAAAGTATAAAATCATTAGGTGAAGTGAAAGACGATGAAATGGCAGTTGAAAGATTGATTTCGAAAAACCGTGAAGGACAATATAACTGAAACTGAAAGCGAAACACTACCCAAAGAAAGCAAGCACCTTGAACTTGTGGAGTTTTCTTGAAAACACTTGTTGGGGTTTAAATATGAAGTAGGGTTTGTGAAATCGAATCGAAAACAGTAAGGTTGAAGATGGTTTTGGGGGGTTTTGAAAATTGAAAGTGTTCGAACTTCGAAGGAGATCAAGAAAACAGAATTGTTTTTCGAATTTTTATTGTTATTGAAAATAAGGGCTGATAAAGAGAGGGGTAAAAATCATGGGAACCCAATTTAAAAAATTTAAAACATATGAAGCATTTGGTACAACAAAGGAGATGACTTGTTTGATGACGTCAGCGTGACGTTAGGAATGGGTTGGTGGCATGGCAATTAAAAGACGAATGAAGAGGAAGAAAATGGGTTTGCGACTAAATCGGTTCCTGGTCTAAACGAATTGGGATACCAATGGTTGTTCGTGAGATTCGTAAGACCAATTCTCAATCCTTGAATTAGATTTACAATCGTCGGATCTATAAATTCATAAACGTCACGAGACTTCTCAATGATTACAAAATTGTCATCGTACAATTTTAAACCATTAGATCATTAGTTTATAAATCTAATCAATGAACATAAATTGGTCTTACGAGTCTCACGAAAAACCTTTGGTCTCACGTGAACCCAAGTAATAATCTGAACCGGTCTTGGTCTCGTTAAGAATATCAAGGCTCAGTTAAAGGTATTTGTAATCGGTTACGGTCCTGGGTCGGGTCCAAACCGGTCCTATATTAAAAAAACCATTTTTATTTTTATTTTTTTAAAAATTTCTTTTGAAAATATAATTATCTCAATTGATCAATTCCTTATTATCTCATTTAGTGATTTTCTTTATCAATACTTTATATTTAGTGAAACAAAATTTCTTTCTAAACTATATATATTGTTATGTATTTACATCAAATTTTAAGTTGAAAAAATTGTCATGTATTTTGAATTATTTTACATAACTTATGATTTCATATAAGTTTTTGTTTTCATATAAATATAACAAGATTTTTAAGTCCGTTAGCCTATGAATAAACCCGGCCCGTTTATAGGACGGTATGAGTAAGTTTTCAATCCCGTAAAAACGGATTTGGTTTTACCATATTAGGGGGGTTGGAGAAAAAGAATAGGTTAATCCCAACTCGGGTCCGATCCAAGCCCGCAAATGATCAACTCTAAAAAAAATTTGACTTTCTACATAAAACCACTCTAAGAACCTATCTAATAAATTGTTATAGGCTGTTTGATAGTTGTTGAAATGTTTGATTAAGAATGATTAAGTGATCAAAATGATTAAGAGGTTTTATGATATAGTGTAACATAAAATATAATTGTTTGGTAATTATTTACAATGAAATTAGGGGGTTGAATGGTTAAAGGAGGTCCATGATGCAAAATTATGCGGATGATTTTAAAATCATCAAGAACAAATATTTCTTTTGCCAAACAAGATTCTTATCGGAAAAATTCAAAACTATCAATTACTTACTGGTTAATATTTTAGTTCATCAAAACGGTATTGTATGCAACAACTAACCTGGTAAGTGCTAACCGTGGTAAGAGTCGTCGTCTTCTTCACTTACCAGGTAAGACGTTCAGTTTTTGCATTCGTTCTTACCGATAAGATTATTGGTCCTTGTTATATTGATTCGATAAGGTAATATGACTTGGTAAGTGCTTACTCGAATAAACATTTGATAAACAACCCCTTACCCTTAATAATTCAATAATAAAACTATTAAAAGGTAAACTTTTATCTGTAACGACTTCCTAAACATTAACGATCTTTTATATATTCAAAGAATATTGCTTGGTTTCGACTTCTGTGTTCTGCAATTTTGATTTTAAAAAAGACGAAGATGGCGGTGACTTCACCGCTGGCTAAAACAAGCAGAGAGTCATCGTCAATCTCTTCGTCGTGTCAAGTTTGCACAACGTGTCATCCCCCACCGCCACCTCCTTCTCCGTCGGCCACCGTTTCTATATCACGTCCGCCAAATCCACCAAAACTCAATCACGACCTACTATCCACCACAAGATGCAGGTATCCCTAAAATTCCTCCAACTTCGTGATTTCATTTAAGATTAGTACGAATCAGAAGTGGCTTAACCCTAAATCTGTTCAAACTTCAAATAATTCTGAACATTTCAACACTTTTGATCATATCAACTTCTTTTATTTCGTAGCTATCTGATTACATATACCGATTTTAATAGGAAAAACGTAATATGAGTTCACCTACAGTGGAAACCGGAAAGGGAAGGAGCCGGATAAACAAGAAGATCCGCCATGGATATCATTCAGTTGAAGGAAAGATGCCCCATCCAATGGAAGATTATGTTTTTGCACAATTCAAGCAGGTGGATGGCAATGAGCTTGGATTGTTTGCTGTATTCGATGGTCATTTGAGCCAAGAAGTTCCCGATTATCTCCGATCACATTTATTCGACAACATCATAAATGAGGTAAAAACTTTCTTCATGTACGTACAGAGGTCCGCCCTGTCTACGTACTTCTTTCTTGGTAATCATCTACTGCACCCATTACTGACCTCTTGGATGACAATTAGCCGGACTTTTGGACGGAGCCGGAGAAAGCTATTAGGAGAGCATATGAATTCACCGACTGTAACATCATAAACAAAGAAATCAAAAAGCGAAAAGGGGGTTCAACAGCCGTTACAGCAATCTTGATAAACTGCGAAACTTTGGTGGTAGCCAACGTTGGCGATTCACGGGCGGTTTTATGCCAAGATGGTGTGGCCAAACAGTTATCCGTCGACCACGAGCCGAACAAGGAGCGCAAGATCATCGAAGAGAAAGGGGGTTTTGTAACAGAATTTCCAGGTATCAAGATTTCTTGAAACCACAAGTCCATGAAAAGGAACCATTTTTCCACTCGTTACATTTGAAACATTTCTTTTCAATATATGTTGGATTCGTTAGGTAGGTTGTATATATTATGAACACAGGGGATTGTGCTCGTGTCGATGCAAGTTTGTCAATGTCGAGATCGTTTGGCGACAAAAGATTGAAGGAACACATAAGTTCGGAACCAGATGTGGTTGTGGAGGTGGTGGATGATGATACCGAGTTTCTGATCTTGGCCAGTGATGGTGTATGGAAGGTCAGTCATCTACCCCCAAACGCCTACCTAGTACAAACCGGAACTTATCAGATATGACTCTTGGTTTTTGTCATCTTTCGTAACGGTTAAGATTATCAATCTTTGTCACGTTCATCCGATAAGGTAAAATGACCCACGAATCCATTGGTTTTAATACCGTTTGAGAATATGCAGAACTGTAAAAGAATCTTTGAAGCGGGGGAGAAATGGTTAAAAGTGTAGCTGATGTGGGATTGTAACAGTAAACATAAATTAACGGTAACAGTGTTTTTGGTAGGTAATGTCGAATGAAGAGGCAGTAGAGAGCATAAAGGATGTGGAGGATCCACGATTAGCTGCAAAACGAGTGATTAAAGAAGCAGTTGGGAGGAAGAGTAGGGATGACATTTCCTGCATTGTTGTTAGGTTCCAGTAGTAATGTTCGTGTGCTATTTCTATATTTTGTTTAAACCAAATGTAACTTTGAATCTGTTTTTGATGACGAAAGTATTAGGCTAGTGGTTTCGTATTTAATTGATTTATCAGTTTTATGAAATATCTTATTACGACACTACAAAAACAAAAATGAGGAGTATCAACGAGGGAAAATTCCTTTGCTAAAGGGGACTTTCGTCGTTGATAATCCGTCGGTCAAAAGTTCGTAGGTAATGCTGTCAGCGAAAGAACTTTTCAACGACTGATCAACGAGAGAACTTTTTACCGATGAATCAATAAGGGAACCTTTCAATTAGTGATGGCCAAAAAAACAGTCCCAGGCCTCTATAGTGCCGGTTATAACCGGTCCCAATCGAAAATACAAAGCCCGATTAAGCATTCCTGTAACCGGTTATGGTTGGGCAAAAGAAGATATTTATTTTTTATTTTTATTTTTTTTAATAATAGATTTTTTTAACAAATACGTTTTATTATAATTAAAACCGAGAATTGTGAACGTTTTATAAGTTGATATGTAAATATTTCATGACACTTATATATAAGGTAAAAAAGACCAAAAAAGGGTCATATAACGGCTATATTTAAAAAAAACGGCTCTCATTTAATTTACCAAAAATAGGTAAGTTTATAGAGCTTATTATAATTATCACTTTACCAATTAATTTTATAGGGACTTATTCTATAGAACTTTTAAAACTCGTTCATATATTATATAACTAATTACCATGCCTTTAAAGACATGCTTCATAATAAACGATATTTAAATATATTTAGTATCAACTTATTTACACTTGAAATATCCATTTTTTACACTTGAAATATCAATTTTTTACATTTAAAACTTCACAACAAGGTAACCTTCATGATGTTTTTGTTGTGAAACTTAGAATTTTTTTTATCAGTGAAGTTTTAAATTGTAAAAATATGATCTCACATACCTCGAAAATGGTGTGATGTTGCATGAACCGAACCCATATTTAACATGTTACTTATAACAGTTCTTTATAAGAGTATTCGGTTGGGTTAACATGGTACTTTCCCCCCTTCCTACTTCGCAACTAACAACTGAACTCATTTCTTCTTCAAATCATAGCCGTCGGCACGCTTCCTCAGATCTTCAACAAAATGATCGGTCGCCGGAACATCCTCCACACGCTTCGTCTCCTCCCGATCGCCGACCACCGCCTCCTTTATCTTATGACTAGTATCCTTCGTAACATCCCACACGTTATCTAATGTCTTCTTAGCCATTTCTCCCATATCCAATCCCGTTTCCACAGCTTTCACTACTCCTTGCTTCGCCGTCTCACCGACGTTCTCCCTTCTTTCAGAGGTTGAAGACGACGGAGTTGTGGATGATTTCACAGCGTTAACACGGTCATCCCTGCCCGTTGACGATCCCGATTCTGATCCCCTAATATCATCAACTAAGTTTGGATCCTGCATAAATACCACAAAGATGTATCGGTTAACAATCAGATTCAACGAAATCATGTGTCGGTAACTTGTGATTTTATCGTCTGTACCTTGTTATTAGGATTGGTAGCCCTTGAAGAAAAGAAATTAGGGGGATAATTGTAAACCCTAATGGTGGATTGGTGAACATTTTTGTTCATAGCGAAGCTGATGAGTCTACCATACATTGCTGTTGATATGGAGATGGTTTATCTGATTACGGTGACTAAATAGCCCTGAAGATTCAGTTGCCGTGGCGAGCTCCGGCGACTGACACTGAACCACGTCCGGACGGCGACACGTTGCTAACACGTGGCAGCAGCATGGCGCTCTTTGAATAAACTTTGAAATTAACTTCTAAAACTACAAATTTGATCCCTGTGGTTTTTCGAGAAAACACTCCTCAAAGTAATTAGACAAATACTAATGATGTTCATTATAATATCAATCAAGAACCCAATTTCTGAATAGATACACTACTACATGATATATATATATATATCTATACTATATTATAAAGAATTTGGCTAAAACTCTTAAAAACTCTTAAACTCTTAAAAGTCTTAAACTCTTAAAACTTTTAAACTCGTTCAT